AAAAGATGTGTGGTGTGTATACTGGTATACCGCTGTTAGTACACCGTGCACATTTTACGTAAGGAACCAATGTCACCATTGCTTGGGTTTGAGACCAACAGGAATTTGGAAAAAATCTCGTTGTGAAGGAAAGAGTTTTTTGGTAGGTTGGCCTGTTAAGTGAAGTGAAAATGGACACAAAACTATTCATGTTCATGCAGTTCTTGAGGATTTAGCAAACAATAAAGTGACAGTCAAGGCTCCATGTTAACACTTAAAACATGTGCTGTGTTGTGATAAAGTTGATTCACTTTATCATACACAGTGTCGCATGCTAACACTTTAGCATAGCTATATTGAGAAACGGTATGCTCTAACACTTGCACACACTATATTGAGAGAAAGTAAACTCTCACTGCATAATAATATGGTAACACCTTTTGTCTGTACCACATTGACTGAAAGAAGACACAAAAGGCTCCATGCTAACACTTAAGCATAAAACTGGAGAAACACTAAACTCTATGCTAAGTTTTGAAAATGACACATTTACAGACAACGACCTCTATGCAAACACTGGAGCAACACTTCAGCATATGTTGAGAGACAGTAGGTTTCATACATACTAAAATGTTTGCATTTTCTATGTGACAGTAGACTTAATGCTAACACTTCTATAAGTACCAGGCTGAGTGATAGATTAATTTAAAATTACTTCAAATTTAGCTTTAGCATACTCTTTTTCTTAAGTGTTTCTGCATCACCATTCCTCTCATCTTAATCATATCTGATGCAGTATGCTAATGGTGTTTTCTTCTAATGATAACTGATTCATACTTTTTATATTACTTTGACTGCACTTTTACATTTATTCTAACATGTATACAAATAAGTATCAAAGTACCTACTGAGAAGTCTGGTTCACGCTGGGAGTCAAGTTAGGAGAGAGAAGTCAGCTATGGAAAGAGGGGGAGAAAAGACAACACTGGCTCTCCTGCAAATGTTTGAACAAACAAGTATGGTACGGTGATGATAGGGACAGCAATGAAAATGTCTGAAATTCTGACATTATGTTCGTTAGATCAGATGAGACTGGGTATGTCGTGTGTGAGCTTTCACCAGTGCACACTTATAAATAAACTGTAAACTAAACTACTATTCTAAACTATATACTCCTTACTTGAGAGGGTAATCGAGTAGTCTTTGCACCCCAAACCAACACTCTTATACATGCACATACACACACACACACACATTCGAAAGTGGTGATCTCATGCACATTGCATCTGCCTCAAGTGATCATAACGGAGCAAGTTGAAGTCTCAAGCAGGCTGTTTTCTACATTAGCCCTGTGCTGGAGCATGTGACAGTCAATAATATGCATCTTACTCATCCATGTTAAGGTTAAGACTGCTGAAACCAGTGTGTGAGTGTGTGCTGAAATGAAGTTTGAATCATGTTAGATCCACCTATATGTATCCATCTTTCCATCATCAAAACTCCATAACTCTTCTCCTAAACTACTCTGGAGTGTTTTAATGGGCAGCATGCAAAATGAAAAGAAACTCCTGCTCATTAAACTCATATGTCAGAGTAACCATATGACAAGCTCTAAAAATCAGATTGTTCTCAGCCTACATAAATAAATAAAAATTTAAAATCTATTCAGACCGATGTGTAATAGTCCATATGTGTAAGTCTTGCGGCATTTCCCCCCAGATAATAAAGCTGGCTTGCATAAAAACATAACTGAATGGGTGAGAGATGAGAACACACACAAGGAATACAAAGAGTGCAGAAGTAGGAAAAGCAAAGCCAACTGTTTTCATTCAAACAGCAGACACAGCCAGTCATATTCAAGCAGTCAGCAGGGGGAGAAAAAAAAAGACGGGCGCGTCGAAACAGTGGACAACAACGACCCCTAATGGCAGATCAGCAAAGTGTCATGGTCAATGATCTCTTGAATATTATCAACACTCATGATCTAATCACTTGCATGAAAAAATCATTTTTGCAGTCCTCATGTGACTTTAAAACATGTTATGGTGTTTAGAAGATGAATTTTACTATATGCCATAGTTCTTTAACTGAAAAAATTGGTCCCAGTTTAAAAGTGAGTCTCCTGGAAACTGAAGTGATAAAAAAGCAGATGTCGATTGACAGAACTTTGTCTGTGTCAAATTTACAAAGAGACAAATAATTTTACTTATATGTGATACGACTTGAAGTATTATTTTCTTCAAAGATGGCATGATGAGAGTTTAAATATCCATCTTTAACTATTTGAAAATGGAAATCAAATCACACATCATGCAAAATGTGGGGTTTGATGCCACTTACCAATTTGACATCCATTTTATACAATTTGTAAACTATTATTTTAAGATGGAAATATAAAGTCAGCATATAACCAATTGTAAGTGTGGTGTTATTTCACCACACGTTCAAAGACTTGATCTTTTCAGATTTGGAGCAATACTGCCCCCTGTTTATGGTAAAACTGAAATACTACTTTTTATACTGGTTTGTACTGTAAATAATACCATAAGTCATATCTTACATGTTACTTCAATATAATGTTGTTGTTTTGAGGGGTGATGGATAATATGTCTTTGGCCAAAGGAAATGTTGGTGTCAAATATGAAAATAGTATACATATTTTCTATTGCTTCCCAATATGTTTAAAATGGATATGTACTGACGTTGTGTCCATAGTAAGTGAATTTAAGGAACCTTACTGTGGCCTGTTTTATAGTATTTTCTGTAGCATCACTATAATAATCCCACTGTCTTGCAGTTTATTTGTAAGAGTGCCCTTGTAGACTACTTCATATCGAAAGTACGTGCACTTACTCTGGATAAGGGCTGATTGGTCACAATGAGACAGCACCGGCGTCCCGTTGTGAATAGGTTTCATGGTATTTGTAATACAAAATAAACTTTATTCGCATAATCTTGCAGTCACTGAGTATCAAAACACTGCTCCAGGTGAGGCTCGAACTCACAACCTCGGCATTGCTCTGCAACGTACTGTCATATAAGTACCGCGCGCTAACCGATTGCGCCACTGGAGCTCACTCTGTTTCGACCGTAGCTGGGTTTATAAACAAGCAGCCGTGAACACACTACTTCCGTATGTGTTTTCACCGTTTTCTTTGAGCCCTACTGCACCAACTCCACGCTAACTTTTATGTTTTATACTTAAGCACGAAAGGACTACGGTGGATTGAACAACTCTAATGAAATGACAGCGAATGTGTTAAATTAACTGCTTTAAAAACGTGTCCGCAGGGTTACCGAGCACAAAGAAATGCTAACGCGCAGTACAATTTTAGCATCAAATTGCAATGTATGGCAAAATAATACGACAGTGGTTTTCTGTGTCCTCACAGCGTCTTCCCCATAGACTGTGCTGCTTCCCGCATATTGTATCCTATATGACGAGCCATATACCTTATAGCCAGTAAGTTACGTAAAGCGTCGCCGTAAGAGGTTAGGTCAACCACGTCGCATGCTCATTGTCACCTCGAGACACAGCATGTATATATTTTCAAAGTATATCATTCCTTGCAGTAAATGGTTAAACAATTGCTTAATGTAGCTACTGTTATAATAATGAAATTATCACGAATGTAACGTTACCTTTACCAATTCTTCAGTGTTTAACTTACCTCTAGTGTGCCATTCTCTACCTCCAAACAAGATGAACAATTAATACTTTCATTTTTTTCAACAAGCAGCCTGATGTATCATTTTATGATACATGCCAGATACATTTGTACATTTTACTTCTGTGTCGCTGCTTTTATAAAAGACAGTATTGTTTTTGATAAGCAAGCAGTAATTAAAAATCCTCCACTTATCAAGATCTGTTTCTGCATCTTTCTGTTTACCCACATTTTACCAGGTATAGGCTACTGCTGCATGCTGCCCTTTCAAACATTTGCATCACTGTACTGACTGTAGGCTGCGCTGAAGTCTGTTGGCTTGTGTATTCTTGATGTGTAGCCTACCTGGTGTTGTATTGATGTGTTCTGTGTACAGCTTCAACTGACAGTTGAGAAGAATATCCTCTAAGAAAATAAAAAAGTAAACCTTTGATGACGATGATAACATTATTTTATATTATATATTGTTAATGATATTATTATGCTTATTGTGATTATTATTCAAAGAAAGTTCAAATCAAGGCCAACTGGACTTGGCTGAAGATACTAGAAGACGTTTCATCCCTCATCCAAGAGACTTCTTCAGTTCTGACTGACTGGTAGCCACAACTTCTCCCCTACTTAAATGCTGTCCTTTCATCACTTCCAAGGAAACTTAACAGACGTTCACTTTTGGCCTCAGGTGAAGATGCCAACGATGGTCGTTCAGACTTGGCCTGGGGTGGCTCTAACAACCATAACAACGGTCGTTACAACAGCCAGGAGCACTTATGAACCAGCGGTATCACATCTCTGATTTGCAATAGGCTACAGATGTGAATGAAATGATGAATGAAGTGAAATGAAAGAGTGTGCTGTAACTCAATAATAAGTTGTTATTAATAAGAATCAACCCTTATTTAACACCTAAAGAATTAGTAATAAGATGTAATTTGGTCATTCTCTTTGTTACTAAGTTCGTTGCTGTGATTCCCTATTTCTGCTGCAGTCATTTGCCCACATCCGAATGGTTAATATCAACAGCCCATATTCACACATCTTTCCTGATCATAATAAAACTGAACACACAAGAGAGGGCAGTTAAGATGAGACTGATTATAATAAAACTGTCAACAAACAAATAATAAAAAGAAAGCACACAGTCCTCACAGTCTGAAACAAAATTATTATACTGAATTGCTTATTTATTATATTTCAAGAGCTATGTGTTTGTTTTTTTCCTTTGACAAATATTTGATGTAATAAAATACATAATAACATTTTGTTATCATTTCATTATCATAAACACCTCTGAGAATAGCATCAGTACATATCCTATATAGAAAGAAAGAAATGCAGTGAACACATCAACACTCACATTTACTTCGTTTATTGGCATTCGTATCCATGAATATTGAACATTTGCAGAAACTCAACTGGTTGCTGTATTTATTCTGATGTTATATCAAAGCTCCCTGTACTTTGTACCTGTCAGGGCATTCCCCTGCATCATTCCTGTCATCAACTGGCATTACCCTGACTAAAACAGCAATACACATATGTGTATATATTTAAGCAGTGCAAAAGCATTTATCAGAGGTTACTAATTTATTTCCTCGACAAGAAACAATTCCTCTGAGCTAATCATATAAAATAGGAAGTAAACATTAGCTATCGAACAACTAGTCTTTTCTGTATTTTAAACCCTCTCCAGTGTTTTAGTTTACAGTCATTAGCCAGCGTACTACTAGTGCATAACTATTTTAGTTACTTTTTGTGTGTTCATTGCATGTCGTGTATGATATGGTTGATGTTCTAAATACACTTGTTATGTGTGACAGATTTCCTTGTGATTATGCCCTTTCATGTGCCTGTCCTGTTACACTGAGTCTAAACTCAGACAGTTCATGGACCCTCTTTACACATAGGCCAATTAGGTCAGCCCAGTCTGAATAAATACCGAAGGCAGCAGAACATGTTTCCATTTCACTTCTAGGTTGACTTTTGAGGACTGAACCTATGACCTTGTTTTGGGAAAGTCTATCCATTAAATACGATATAACATTATAAATATACGCTACTGGCATGATCTGATGCTGGTCTGAGATTCTTCCTCTTCTTAAAGCACAGGTGGCAGATGGAGCTCTTGACCGCATCAAGAAACATGGAGCTTGAGAAAAAGTAAATGACAGGGTCCAAAGCGCTGTTGAGGTAGGTGAAGCCAATGCACATCACAAAGAGCTGGGTGAGCAGATTGTAGCACGTTAAGTCCATGGGGTGGTAATACTTCATGTACATCCCACCCAAGCCTGTGATGATACTTGGCAAGAAGCAGATAGTGAAGACCAAATTGATCACCCCCACTGCTCGGATGGCCCTCCGTACCCCCTTCTGCTTGTCCATCTGCCGTTGGTGCAGGTAGCATGCAATCCGGGCTGAGCAGAACAACAACAAGAACCAGGGCAGGAAAAACTCTGCAACGAAGGCTACATAGTATACCTTTATACCCAAGGGGATTTTATCATATGTGTTGAAGCTGCGACACAGGGAGACGTTGCCATCCTGCTGGTGGAGGTTGGTGGTCAATAGTGGAATCCGAATGGCAATCACAGCAGTCCACATCAGGACAGCAACCCAACCCGCCTTAGTTACATTAATATGGCTGATGCAGTGATGCGGATGGACCACTTTGAAGTAGCGATCCAGTGCCACAACTGTCATGAATGCAATGCTGGCAGAGCGATTAACAGCCAGCATGAAGAGGTTGATGCGGCACCAGACCGGTCCAAACACCCAGTATTCCTCTCGGAGGTGGTTGTCGATGCGGAAAGGCACACTGATGAGGAGCAGGAAGTCAGCTAGAACCAGGTTAAAGAGAAAGAGAGTGTGGGGTTTCCAAAATTTCATGCGGAACCAGAAAATCCACAAAGCGATTATGTTTCCTGGGAGGCCCACAATCATCTCAACAATCATGACAAACTGCAGGAAATGAGTTCCTATGTTGTGGATGGATGGGCAATTTATGAAACGGTTAGTTTCATTAATCGCCACGGTGGTAGTAGTGACCAAATCCATTTCAGCTGTGAATGCAGTCAGAGCTCTCTGGTTTTTCCACTGCTCCTTATTTTTAGAAGACTTTATGTTCTGAAAACTATAACAGGAGAAAACGAGAAAGAAAAATGTTTACACATTGATATTTCATTGATTGTATTGTTCAAGCAAAAGTTAGACATTTTAGGAAATACATGCAAATGAGTGTTGCAGCACTTACTGCGCATTCAGACCAAACGCGAAGCAAGTGTTGTGCGCAGCGTGATTACATACAAAGTCAATGCAAAGACACAGAGAGGCACAATTTCCAGTCCGGCAGTGCGGAGGACACATTGCCGGCCACGCAAAGGGATTCCCCGCGCGTTTAAAATTTTCAATTTGAGCGAGAAAATTACATGACACTGTCACGATCAGAGTTGAGATTGTCTCGACGTCACCGTCGACTTCAGAGCGTTATTTGGAGAGGACCAGGCAGACTAGAGGGACTGAATCTCTGCTGGCCTACAGACAGCTGCTGAGTGACGGGGAGCTTTGGAGGAAAGAGCGCCTGAGCTTTTGGACAAGAAAACACCTGTAGTCGGACTGGATTCTGCTCTGACAACTGTGCTGGCAGGAAGAGCTCTGTCAGGATTACTGAGTGCAGAAGCAGGAAAACGGAAGTGTGGACCCAAATGCAGACACAAACAAATAGGATGCAGTTCTTATGATTTATTTCCAACCAAATACACAGTGTTACTCGCAATTGCAGGCAGAGTCCAAACAAAGGTTGTAATCCTTTTAAGGCAACAAAAACTCCAAACAGGATTTGAACAGGCAGAACACTCCTCATACGACGAGGATGCAACAAAGACTGAACAGAAAAGAGGCAGGCACAATCAAGGCAGACACAGACAAGAAGCAGAGTAAGGGAACAGAGACAGATACCAGTACAAAACAGAACCAAACAGTACTGACACTAAACTAAGAAGAGATGCAAAACAAAACACGAACCAGGACATGAACAAAAACAGAAATTACGGAACCCAAACCAGAAAACCAAAGTCACAACATCATAACAGGAACAAATGACAACCGACCCGGATGAGCAAAATAGAACACAAAACACATGTAAAATCTAAACAGAAAATAACTAACTCGTAAACAGATCAAAGAACTAAGACACAGAAGTAAAATACAGACCCAGGACTACACACTAAGACATCAACTAGGACATGACTGGGGAAGAGCAGGGACAGTGAAAACAGAACTAGACCAAACATAAAATCATCACAAGAATAAACAAGGCAGAATAGTAGAAACACAAGACATGGAACCAAAAACCCCCCAAATAAAACCCCCGGAATCCACAAATCAAGACTAGCTCTGAGTTAAATGCTTTTATTAAATTAACTTTGTACTTTAATTTTTGGGATTAAAAAGTTGATTTTTCTTCACTCACGCTTCTAAGCAGCGGGACTACTACTTCATATTTATATAACAAAAATGGAAAAAACTGGACATTACTTGGAGAAAAATAAGCGAGGAATTTGAATTGGCCGGTAAGTTCAGGAAACATGTGTGTGTTGCTTGATTCCAGCTATCGTTGTACTTTACTGTGAACAAGTTAGCATAGCACAGGCCTGATCAATCCAAACTCCATTCAAAAACAAATATTTTAAATGTTGCTGTCCTGCTGTCTTGCTGACAGACCTGAAAAAGCATGAATTAATATGTTTAATAATAAGGCATCATGTTGCAGTTATTTCAGCATCAGTTTGCTCTGTTTATTTCAATTAAATTACAACAAAATGTTTACTTTGGTTTAATTTTGCTGTAGTAATTGCGGGTTGTGTTTATTCGCATTATCGCATTGTGTGTGAACACTCGGCAGTGGTCCAGTGATCAAACCCACTCGAGGAAAGCAACGATTAAATTTACGTTTGGTCTGAAGACACAGTTATTCTCTGCGGCTTCTCCTTGATCTACTGTGGCTTGGATTGTACCTAATTTCTTCAGTGCCTTGAACAAAAGCCTCTGTCTAATGAATCCATGTTAATGTAAATATGCTCATTCGCTTCCTTGGGAGTGAAATAGGAAAATTGGTACCACTGTTATATTTGTATAGTTAATATCAAACTACAGCCAGCCGGCGGTTAGCGTAGCTGAGCATAAGGATGGTAAACAAGAGGAAACAAAAACTAACTATCAGCAACACAAAAGCTCTCTAATTAACACATTACAATTCATTTGTTTAATCTATACCCCTGTTTCCAGTCTTTCTGCTATGCTATGCTGACTGGCTACTGGCTCAGTTGTCAAGACAAGGTAATACAGTAATTTCGAGAGTGACATTTACATGTTCTTACAGGACAGGAGAGCATCTTTAATGCCAACACAATTTCACTTTTCCTATACACTCTAAAATGCTTTGTATATGACAAAGCACTGTATAAGGTCTAAACTCAAAAGAATGTACAATGCAAAATATGGAAAAGGTAAACATTTTGGCACTCACCAGCAGTCAACAATGAAATCTTTGGTTCCCTCTAAAAAAAACACCCACTTTTCAGAAGTCAGAGTTGTCTTATCGATGCATTCAGCAGATAAAGACAATAACATGCACACATCCCTTTCAAGCAGTGAAAGTGATCGAGTGAGACGTGATTCTTGCTGCAGTCTCTGTTTAAAAGCTGGCGTCCCCAGAGGGCTTGTCATGACATGATGATTTCAAAGGAAGCTGCAAGAAAATCACTTCTGGTATTTGAGAACACACACCTCTATCCTACCTTTTATTCTAAAAAACCTTTATGTGACAGAATTTATCAAGGAATCTTGTATTGATAAATGAGAATTCATCATTTAAAAAACAGAAATTATTGTGAGACAACTATTTGTTGACAGAGAGTTGTGGGTGGTGGTGAGGACAGTAATACATGCATACACACACACACACACACACATACAGTAATACTTTTATTAATGTTTACAGTAAGAAATTCTGCCTCTGTGTTCATAAGTAAATCCATATCGTCATTTACACATGTTGCTTAATTGATACATTTGTCTCTACTGTACTGTGTCTCTAATATTTGTAACTATTATGTATATGCATAGGTGTTAATCTATATTGTACGTACTGCACACATCACTGTATTTGTATCTGACATTTGTACTGTATCAGACTTCCTCTAAGGAAACTGTGTTAGTCTGCCTTGTATGTTCAGGTTCTTTTCTGTCAATGTAAATCATTTCACTTAATCACATCAACTTAATTTCAAGTCACATCAGTGTCTAATTTAGTGTCACCTGGCCACTTCATCATAAATTATCTCATTTTATTTAAACACATCTTATCTACCTCACCTCAGTCCATTTTATCCAATTATGACTGACATTATCACAGCCCTCCTGTTCTTCTTTTGACCTTTTGCTTTAACATCAGCCCAACTTCAAATCATCTCATTTACACAGAAATATTTATTGAGACTTGGCCAAGGAGAAAATGGGGGCAGCAGTACTGTGCCAAACCATGTAGTGCCAAAACCAAATCTGAAGGATACTTCCTGATGGGGGATATTTATCTTTCCCTACTGAGAGTCACTATATGCTCAAATAAGGGTATTCTTCACTCATATTCTATTGGATATTGGTTCTAAACAAGACACAATGCTTATGCACAGGAAGTTAGTCCCTTTGTAATTAGCTGGTCACATATTTTGAAAGGGCAGACAGTCTGTCTGTTTGAAACAAAATAAAGATAATCTTGACCTTGGTTTGCCTATGAGATGAACGACAGAGTTCAGCCTTAGCAAGCCAGCTGCGTCAAGCCATCAGTCAAACAAACAGGCAGAGAGGAGAGAGAATATTAACTTATTGCTTTGGAGGGTCACAGGCTGTGACCTATGAGTATGACCTACAACTACCTGCTATGTTTTACCGCTGAGGAAGCAACCAGAGGAAAATTCCTGCACACCATTCAAAATGCTAAACTCAAAGAAGGCGAAAGAAGAGCTAGACCAAGGAGAGCCATAACCTCTGATTCAGGCCACTTTGATTGACCGTGTGGTCTAAAAATGTGGAAGACAATCAAACTTGAGAGGGTTCACTGTAGCATCCGTTGGTAAATGAGAATAGGTAAAAATAGGTAAGAAATCTACTCTCATTACAGTATAGTACTGCATTTCAGCAGAGTACTCAGCAATTACTTTAGTACAATATTGCAAGTGGGTCATAGCACTGTAAACAGAAATGGAAGATTGGCAACTGTATATCTACGTACACAGTTACAGTGTTTACTTCTTTATTTCTATACTATCTGTAGCCCCCGTCACCACAATGTGGCAGGAAATTTCCTCTGTCTCCTAATTGTCAATATGGTTCAAGAAAACAACACCATATCGGTGAAGTAAATACAAACTAAAATCAGGAAAAACAATGGCACTGGACCATTGCCATGCACTAGATGAGGAACCACATGAGGAACCACATGAGGATGAAACTCTACAGGGAGGAAGAACTAAACACAAAGTACTGACCTATGACTATGTGCACGTTCTGTACATTCCCACAATCAATGAATACCATCAGCACTGTATAAACATATGACAGTAATTCCATTGTTTTGTACTTCACCATATTGACCGCTGTAGGTCTTTTTCTGGAAATGTCATGTTGCCTGTTTCAGAGAGTGTCAGACCAGATAGATGCAAAGGATGCACCCACACTTTTAGTGTTTTTCTGCCTGGAGATGGAAGGTCTTTGACCCCAGTCCCCCATATGCATATACCTCTTCTGCAAGTTAGTGAAGAAATTATACAAAAATATTTTACAATATTTGCGCGTGTGTGTTTGTGTGTCATTTGAAAACAATACTATTTTTACTCATTTTGCGGGATTTTTGGGGGGGATTTGTGTATATAAATCACAAAAAAAACTAGCATAGGCTAGTTCAGAGAATATAGCCTATGCTTTCAGAAAACTTATGTTAAAATAAAATAAAAAACTGATTTCAATATAATTGGGGTCCATTCAATTTACCATACCAAACTGACTCAACGAGTGAAGGCTCTCTGTGCCTGCAGAAAGAGAAAATGCTAATTTCCCTAACCAAACTTTCTTTGGTGACAACAATGCAAACCGCACACATAAACAGCCGAGCTCACCACTGTGTGAACAGTCCGACCTTTGTCAGCCCAATAACTTTATGGTCAGTGACTCCCATGCAGCGGTGCAGTCCCCCTTCCAAGCCCTAAAGGTGTATTTGCGAGAATCACTGGACTCTGATCTAGAGGTCCACCATTCATCACACTGTTTTATTAGAGTACACACAAAACAAACACACAGGACCCAGCAGTAGCACCATGTCAGGACTGACATCTGCTCTCAGGGACACTTTATGGTTACAGTGTGTGCTGTGCATGTGTGAAACTACTCGTAGAGCTCTGCGTTCATATTTAATATGTGTTTATATTTATTTCTCAGCACAAGTCTTGCTGTAAGTGCTTAGTGAGTAAATTATCACTTTTATAAAAGCATATCAATGACTAATCTTCCTAAGGTGTCATAAATCTCTTTACTGCAGCCAAAACTGACTGACTTAATAATAATAACTTAATAACTTTGCAACTCGAACATAGCACTGTTATGATAATATTTTTTTGTAAATTCAGAAATAACTTTTGAATATGCTGGTAGCTTAGGAACCAAAATTTGCAAAATAGTTTTTAAAATAGTTTAAAAGAAATGTGGATGCATTGTAAATTTTAAATCCAATAAAAGTTCCACAGTACTTGTATTTAGCAATATGTGGATATGACAGCTTCCCTGACACACCCAGCTGCTGTGGTTAACCTCCCAGTTTGCCCTCAAACAACACACATCAATACATTTGCCTACTTACGGTATGCTTAAAAGAAACTATTCATGCAGCCACAGTCTCCCACTGTGAGATCAATACTTTTATTGGTAGTACATGCACACAGATATACTTTCCTAAGGTGGTCCAGGTTTGCTTCCCGCGTCTGTCCCTTGGTTCACGGCCTCAGCCTGTGACAGAGACATCACTGTCTCACTCTGATAACACGGAGCCGCTTAATGTTTAGCCCAAGATCCACACACACACGCACAGACACACAGGGAAGCAGAGGGATTACAAAGGCACAGAGACCCGTATGCTGTCCAGGGATGGAGGCGAGAAAACTAATTATGGGGAGAAAACGAGGTAGTAATGACCAAGGTGAGAATTATCATTGTGTATTGTTATGTTTGATAACTGTAGAAGACCACAGTGTGAGGCAAAATATGGCATTTGTTGTCATTGCATCCTTATATTGGTGGAAGTCAGTGAAGTGATGGAGTTATTCAGTGCTGTTGTGAGACCACTGTAGATTCTATTTTATTTTGAGGAGAAATAATTTAATGACAGATACAGTCACCATGTGGCATTGGTAAATGGCACTTTTTTTCCAGTGCAGAATGAAAACCTGTTGAAGATTTTCAAAGTCTTTAACTTGATAAGCCGTGCTATTAGCCTGTTACTCTAATCCCCGTTAGAGCTTGTACACACGCTGTGTGTCCCATGGAGGAGCGACAAAACAGGACTGTATACACACTGGAGGTATTATAATGTAGCAAAGAAAATCTAGAGAAAAGGATGGGCTCTTTCAAAAAGAAATAATATTACTTGTTAAAATGTTATTTCATTTTAATGTATGCATCCTATAAACATAAACATGCATACTTTTCTTTCATGTATCAGTTTCACTTACATGCATAACTATATCTCAGATTATTATGGTCAAAAATGTATTGATTGGACAGCATCTGTCACTGAAATAGATTTGCATTTTCCTTAAAATCTTTACCTGCCAGTGATTGGCTTTATCAGCATTGTGTGAACAGACGTTCATTTATGTGTAAAAGTCCCGCACTCCAGCTTTAACTTCACAAGTAATAGTCAAACTTTTGGGAAAAACGCTCATTCGTGAGAAGACTGATGGCACTCTCATGTCTGTACTGCAAATATGTAGCTGGATGCAGCAGCTGGTTAGCTTAGCTTAGCATAAAGACTGGAAATGGAGGCGAACAGCTTGCCTGGCTCTGTCCAAAGATAACAAAATCCACTTACCAGCTCCTCTAAGGTTTACAAATTAACATAGTTTAATCAATACAAAAAATTTGTCTAGGGTTGTGCGTCAAACAATGTTTTGTCTGGGCGCAGTAACTTTTTAACTTCAGGAAGTTACTGCTCATGGCCAAGAAATACTGTGTTATTGATCATCCATCTAACTCTCAGCAAAAAGTGAATAATAAATTCCCAAAATGTCAAACTATTAAATTTTAAATGATATTCATTAAAGAGCCAAAATGTAGTAATAACAGGCATTTCAAATGGATTATTGTAACCTATGCACTTAATTTCTATTGGGACAGAATGTTAGTCAAATTTAACATCATCAAGCTCATACATATTTTATGTAAACTGATATTAGAGAAGGGTGGTGTGGTGTGGTGGATAGTGCTGGTTGCCCCGGCCTTTCGGTGTGGAGTTTGCATGTTCTCCCTGTGTCTGTCGTGTGGGTTCTCGCCAGGTAAATTGTCCTAAGGTGTGAATGTGACTGGTTGTTTGTCTATGTGTGGCCCTGTGATGGATTGGTGATCTGTCCAGGGTGTACCCCACCTTTTGCCTGATGTCAGCTGGGATTGGCTCCAGTGACCCTGTACGCAGGAAAAGCAGTTGACGATGGATGGATGATATTAGGGATGCAAATTTTCTTTTTTTTTCTCTTTAGATGGAATAGGCCTGAAGGCCATACCTTCACTCTAAACTATAAAGAATCTTTTGAAAAATCTGCTTAAGTTATTTACAATTACAATTTCTTTGTGACAGGGACTGGTATTGAAGATGAAGTTTTAGCAGAGCCACATGGGAGAGTCTCAAGTCGTCCACTCTCTGCTGTAGTTCGCCTCTATGTGTACGCACTGCATGGCTGCCTCTGTGAGGTGGTCTTCACTGCTGTGTGGGACTGGTGCAGCACCCAGGACAGGAGGCTGGCAGGTCACAGCAGCCTGTGGGCGCTGCCTATGTACGCTACCGCAATCTACTTCATGGAGAGCCTGAGATCCCAGCTGCTGGATAAGCGTCACCCACTGCCAGTGCGTCTGATCGCCTACACCATGTTCATTTACCTATGGGAGTTCAGCTGGGGGGCAGGGCTGAGGCTGCTGGGGGCATGTCCATGGGACTACTCAGGTTATAAGTACAACCTGGGAGGACTGGTTACACTGGAGTATGCACTACCATGGGCTGTGGCAGCATTTTTAGCAGAGAAGCATGTGATCAGGAACACTCTGAGGATAAGACTGCACAACTAAACTGATATCAGTCTGGAATAATGTGCTTCCAAGGGCAACCATAAAGCATTCATGGACATTGTTTTAGGAACACCACACTTTTGTGATCTTAACATTTTGATATTACTGTAAAAGGTTGGTGCACATGCTGCCCCTCCCTGAGCTGTGTCATTAAATCGGACAACCTTTTTCAGTTCAATTTGTGAGCGTTTTTGTCTCTCACAGTCTGATTTTATGTTAGGGCAACTGATTTGGTAGCCGATGTAACTTACTGGATGACAGCTGTAAAGGAACAGTTTGGGATTTGGGGAAATAAGTTAATTAGCTTTATTGTTAAGAGTTACATGAAGATCGACAGCATTTTTATTTCTGTCTGTTAAATACAGTATGAAGCTACAGTACATGCAGATTAGCACAAAGAGCAGGAAAGAGCTAGATAAGTGTAAACACAAAAAGTTGTGGTTTTATGGGGGTTTGGAGCTGGACTATTTCTTAGCTGGGAGCTTGTCACCAAGAAATTGTTACAGCATGTTACTCCCTGTAAAACTACAAATTGTCATCTTAACATTTTATTGTGTGTATGAATGAGACTTTGGTCAGAGCCAGGTTAGCTGTTTCCTTCCAGTCTGCATGCTAGGCTAAACTAAATGCCTCCTGTGTCCAACTCTGTACTTAACACACAGGCATGAGAGAGAATTTGACTTTCTCATTTAAAAGTCAGCAAGAAAGAGAATGAGAGTATTTCCAAAAATGCCAAACATTTCATTTAATTAAATTGTATCGTTTAAATCAACTCAGATCTGGACTGTCCACTAGTCACTGAATACAAAACATTATCATAACCAGTCTGACTGTAAGCCGGTTACAGTGAGTCAGACATCAAACCAAAGCAGAGGTGGGTAGTAACGAGTTACATTTACTCAGTTTCACTCAAGTCGCTTTTGAATAAATTGTAGTTGCAAGTGTAATTTTAATGCAGCATACTTTTGATTCTTAAAGTTTTTAGAGAAAACCCATTACTTTTACTCTGTTACATTTGGATACATTCATCACACTACTTTTATTCATTATTTTATGCATTCATGATCTGGTCATGAGTGGTCAGCTGGTCCCAGGTCTGCTGGTGCTCTGTAGGCCTACTGCAGCCATGCCTCAGCAAGCTACAGTAGGTGTATTGCTTTCAAATAGCTCTAGCAGCTTATATTTCTCTTCTCTGATAGTTACAGGCAAATTACAGGTTTTTTTAAATTGCTTACACACGTTTTCTGAAAGCAAGGCTCATTTTCAGTACAAAAACTCACACACAAAACTCCACAATCTGCGAATCTCTTGCAAATGCAAACACTGCATTCAGAACACTGTTATGTCTGGTGATGGAGCAGTGGATAAGACACATGCCTTTGGTTTGAGAGACCTGGGTTCAATACCCCACCCACTGTGACACATCTACCATTGTATCCCTGTGCAAGACAATTAACCCCTAGTCACTCCAGTGTGACCTCTGACATATATAGCAATAAGTCGCTTTGGATAAAATTGAATAAATGTAATGTTTCTATAATGTAATGTTCTCAAAATGAAGCGTTGTCTTTAAATGACACAAACCAGCTGAACACTGAAGTGATGGAAAACCCTATGATGAGCGGAAAACACTACAATGATACACTTAGTAGGCCTTTCGCATTTTCAGTGTTTCACTACATAATGTTGTAAACTGTTGTGTTTTCATACTCAAAAATAAAACGTAAATACAAGAATGTGATGTTTTTTATTCTAAAAGATTGTGTATACATCTCAGCAAACACTGATGGATTTGTAAAGTGTTCTTCACACAGAACAAACAATAGGAAAGTGAGAGAGATATGAGCAAATGCTGTGAGAAAAAAAAAGAAAAGAAATAATCCTCACTAACCCCTTGGATAAGTCCATACTGTGCTGCTTATTGTGTGTGGGCTCCATCACATGCTGAGTCAGTCCATAATATCAAGAACACAGCACAGTTCTGTAGTCCCCCTGTCATGGGGGTTGCCAACATGGATGTTAAAATCACCATTAATAACTACACAGTCAAAGTCAATACAGATTACATACAACAGTTCAGTAAAGTTATCAAAAAAGGTTGCACAGTATTTAGGAGGTAGACTCAATGAGAACAGCTGCACTGTTATCTTGGTCAGTTAAAAGCATAAAATTAAGATTGTTCTTGATGACATAATCATTGACAAAAACGTTTTTCCTGACGTCTATAAATGTCAAGAGAGGAGTTGAGAAGGCCACTGTCGCATTGGAAAGCGACGTCTTGAAGTCTGGACGCAGCAGATATCTGTTAGAGCTTGCTGTATTTTGTACACATGTGCTGTGCTTTTATCAGGCTGGGGAGACAGAGGATGATTCTGACAGTGTCGTGGGGGGGAGAGGTGCCAGGCACGGTGACCGTGTTAAATGTGTCAACAGTGGCTGAGGACTTAAACCCAAAGCAGGAGGTGGATTCTGAGGGGAGTTTAGGGGAGAGAAAATTGGAGGAGGGGGGTAAGTTTGGTCCCACCAGTGACTGGGTTTTGTCCCAGAAGTGACGAGCATTTTGATCTGGTCTTGGGCGGGGGGGGGCGTTGACTGGGGGAAAAAACCTGGATGGGGTTTGCTGGGGTTAGGGGGGGCTCTCCTTCATGGTGTCTCTGGTGCTGTGTTATGTCTTTTCTTGTTTGTTGTTGATTCCTCTTGTCTCTTGTCCTTGGCAGAGGGAAAAGATTAGTCATGCAGGACGTAAAAACGGTTAGGGATGAACAGTTTTACTCCTGACTTGTTAAGGCAAAGTCCATCTGCCTTACAGTAATCACTGAGTACTGAATCGATATGCAGTACTACAGTGCAGATGATGAGCGCTACTGTGAACCTGCTGTAGGTTGATTGTCTGGCCAGTCTCCCTCAGTGTCAGAAAATGGTGGCCTGAATCTCTTCACAGATTATGGCTTTCCCTAGTCTTAGTATCTTCCTTGTCCTCGTCTTCTTACTCTGACTCCACTTGCCTCTCTCTCCCACTCCAAAACAGAAGAGCTCACCTGTGGCCCTTTCACAGTTTTGCTGAACCTCTGATTGCCTACTGAACAAAAGTGCAACATGCGTTTGCCCATGTGAGGCAACAGAGTTGTGAACACAATAGATTTGATCATGAAGATTAGTGTCACATGTAGAGACTTGTGTGTAGTGTGAAAAAAATGTGTGGTTTAGAATTGCAGTCTGAGCGTGAAGCAGGAAATGTACTTGTTTTTTAGCAGAACTGGTTCAGGGGGTTGGTACATCAGTTACAGATTGTGGTCACTGTGTCTCAAATACCTGTGTTAGTGAACAACTTAGCGAAACTGTAACAGCACACGCTGGTCTGAGGTCAGTACATCAGAGAACCGAGCTGACACTGAGATGTTGTGTTATGTTTATGTTTATGTTTCTATGCCAATAATTTTAGTAATATATACACAAAGTATATCTTCAAAGCTACTACTGCTCTTACAATTATATATAATGTAAATATTCAAGCTAGTGATGTGCGAGCAGCTTGCATTTAACCACAGTTGTCACACTCATTCTTGCAGCCTGATGGAGAAATGCAGAAAAGAACAGAACAAATTATGCACACGAAAAAAGACAAACTGCTTTTATTTAATGTTTCAATCCCAGATGGTCTTCCTCAGGTAAAAGTAAAGACGAGAACACACCTGTATTTAATTTTTAAATAATCAATAATGAAATGTCACAGCATTTCCTCCTAGTTAGCTCCTAGTATGAGTCACCTGATAAGAGATATTTTCATTAAGTTAAGAGACTCATTTCACCACTTCTCTGATGTTCTTGTCTTCATCAGAATCAGAATCAGACTCAGAAATACTTTATTGATCCCCGAGGGGAAATTCTTGATCATTGATTCATGTGATTGGAGAGACCTGGAAGAGGAGGGCTCACACCTAGTATGTCTCTAGAGGGACATGGGCCTTGAGAGATCTATACTGGAATTATAATTAAATGCATGTTCATCTTTGATGTAACTAACAAGGCCCATTATGCACATGTATACAACCAATAAAATGGTGAAAAATGTCCATCACTATTTCCCAAAGTCCAGGATGATGTCCTCAGATGTCCAACGAAGGTTAAAATCAAGGGCAACTGGACTTGGTTGAAGAGACTGGAAGACGTTTCGTCCCTCATCCAAAGGACTTCTTCAGTTCTGACTGACTGGCAGGAAAACCTCAGTGGGGTCGTTGGCCAGGGTCATCGATACCGCTGGTTCGTTAGTGTTCCTTGTTGCTGTGACGATAGTCGTTACAGTCGTTAAGACTACCTGTGGCCAAGACTGAACGACTATCGTTGGTATCTTCACCTGAGGCCAATAGGTTACGTTTGTTGAGTTTCCTGGGAAGTGACGAAAGGACAGCATTGTAAGTGGGTGATAAGTGGTGGCGTAGACCCCCTCCCCTGTTCAATGACGGCTTCTCGACCCTGGTGTAGATGCTTCCATGACACCTCTTTCAAACCATCCATCTTCTCTGTCTAAAATGTGCACCTGGTGGTCCTCAAACGAGTGTCCTCTGTCCTTCAGATGTAAGTAGACTGCAGAGTCTTGACCTGAGGAGTTGGCCCTTCTGTGTTGAGCCATGCGTTTGTGTAGTGGTTGTTTAGTCTCCCCAATATACAGGTCTGTGCATTCCTCACTGCATTGGACCGCATACACTAGATTGCTTTTCTTGTGTTTGGGTGTGCGGTCTTTGGGGTGTACCAGCATCTGTCTTAGTGTGTTCTTGGGTTTAAAAAACACAGGGATGTTAAGTTTGTTGAAAATCCTCCTGAGTTTCTCTGATACTCCAGACACGTATGGAATCACAATGTTGTTGCGTTTGACCTTCTTTTCCTCCTCCCCTGTAGTTTTGTTCTTCTTGGATCTTGTGGCTGTTTTCACAAAGGTCCATTTAGGGTATCCACAGGATGTAAGTGCCCCCTTCATCACTTCCCAGGAAACTCAACAAACGTAACCTATTGGCCTCAGTTGAAGATACCAACGATGGTCGTTCAGTCCTGGACACACGTAGTCTTAACGACTGTAACGACTGTCGTCACAGAAACAAGGAACACTAACGAACCAGCGGTATCGATGACCCGGGCCAACGACCCCACTGAGGTTAAATAGCTGAGTTTCCATGACAGTCAGTCAGAACTGAAGAAGTCCTTTGGATGAGGGACGAAACGTCTTCCAGTATCTTCAACCAAGTCCAGTTGCCCTTGACTTAACCTTCGTTGGATAACTATGACCTGGATGACTGAGAATCTTCATAGACGTCCTCAGATGTCTTGTTTTGTCCACAACCCAAATGTATTCAGTTTACCATCATAGAGGAGTAATGAATCCAGAAAATATTCACATTTAAGAAGCTGGAATCAATTTGACTTTTATTTTCTTAAAAACTTAGAAACAATCAACTATTAAATTAGTAGGAGGTTAATTTAATAGTTGACAACTACTTGATTAAACATTGCAGCTCTAATTTGCTGATTTATTTGCCAAATTACAATATAGGAGAAAACAAGCAAAGAATATCATTTTAAAAATGTCAGTGCATACTTAATAGAGTTTAATATTAATGTGATATGTTGTAATCACACTTGGGAATATTATCCTGGTGTATATGTGGCAGGTTATCTTATCAGGAGATGATGACTCATCATTTCATCACAAATAAATACAGGTGTATGTTCAGGTATGGATTTGTACCTACGACGATCCTACCACTCATCCATAGCAACACCCATTTCTGAAAAACTGCAATTTGTCATGTCCAGACAGTTCTGGGTTTTATTTGGGAAAGCTACAAGAACCTGGCAAGCAGAACTTGGCACGTAAAACATGAATACCATCTGATAACAATGTGATTATTTCTAAGACATGTTGAAACCTGTGTTATGTCTTTACAGCCAATCAGATTGGTACGCTAGGACTGGGATTGTGTAGTGTTGACAGCTAGGTAGATAAGGGTGATACTGATCTTTTTTTACCTCCAGAGGAAATCTACATACCACATCACAGTTTACGAGGCAGATGGAGTAGGAGCTGTAGCTGAGGGATCGGGTGTGGCTACCCTGGGAACACGGTTCACTTCAATTACAGGGGCCCACTTTAGCCCCAATCTGCCTGACAAAACAGTGATTTTAATGAGTAAGTTCCTTTTTGTTTAACCAGAAACAGTCAAAGCCAAGCCAGGGCTATCTCTGGAGGAATCCTTTACACACTTGTCACACACTTGTAATAACAATCTGAGCCTGTCAGTGGCAAAAACAAGCACTTTGGTGGAAGTACAGGCGCAACTGCTTGCAAAGATTACACTGCAGCCCTGTTTCTTTTGTTGTTACAGCCAATAGCACTACATATCCTGGGCATATTAGAATATAAACCTTCTGGGAGTGTTTCATGGATCTTCCTCCTCTGCTTGTTGTGGTTGTAGTGACTGGACGCATAAATGGCACCGATAAAGCACTGTGACGTTGCATGGTCCTTATTACATTCACGCCTCGACCCCTCTGCAGTGAGCCATCAGCTCTGTGCCTGATTGGGAGTTTTTTTGACACAGTTCCTGTGTAAAATGGAGTAAATTAAGCTCATGCCAAACTACTGCAGTTGATGAAAAAACACTGAAATGTGGTAATTTGGAAGTAAAAGTCAAAAACGCAGACTGTGCGTTCTCACAACTCAATTTTATCCCTACAGATATTTATTGGAAATGGTAGATTGCCTGCAATTATATTGTACTTTTACAATATTTACAGAAAGTGCCTCACAATGTGCCTCTCATTCACACACTGTGATTAGAGGACGACCCACTGAGCGTCTGTATAAAAATCAATGTGCAGAATTACGACAAAGTGCAATTTAAATTTCAGATTCAATAGTTTCTGGTGTTTATCAATACTGAAATGAACACTGACCCCAGAGATCACTTTCATTACAGTTTTTCTCGATTACTTAAACACATTTCCACACCCTCAGACATAACACACAAGCCCTGAGAAATACACACACACAAACACACACACACACTACAACACAGTCTCACACACTGGTGAGATAAATACAAAATAATTCTACAAAAACTGGTTTTAAGTAATGTTGCTTGTGTTTCCCCCCTTCTAAAACCTTTTCACATGATGAACACAACAAAAGAAGCTACAAATGGAAACATTTGCACACTTTTTATTCCTTAATGTACTGTACAGTACAACACACCAAACAACAAGCATCACGTCTTTGGTCTGGGACAGGCCAGAGAATCTCGTCCCCCACCTACTCCTCTCCCTATTCCTCATCTTCGGTGTCCTCTATCTCTTCCTTCACGTCTCTGTAACAACTGTTCCAAACTGAATAAGATGACTCGGGTCAGTTTTTCTACTGAAGGTTGTGATCAATTATCAATTATGACTCTCTGAGTTTCCACCTGGGTAGGTGTGTGCTAATTGAGCTCAAGCTGTGCTGACTTGAGTTCTTCTGCCTAGATATACAGATATTTAATGTATGTGTGTGAATTGGCAGTGATGCTCAGGGTCTCTTCCGCTCAGGGTTTTGGACCACAATCAGGGCAACAGTCCCCTCATCTCTCTGCCACTGGTACCTGCAGAAGAAGAAGCAGTGCTTGATTTTTCTGCAGTAAAAAACAAAGTCTTGAAAGTAATATCTCAAGTCATGACTGTCAAATCCCCTCCTTTAACAGCACAGAACTAACTGGAAGAGTTTGACATTAATTGTTAATAGTGACTCACTGGGTCTGTTCAGGAATGAGTAAACTGTCACCGGCAGAAAGAGTGAACTGTTGATTCATAGTTACTCTTGAGGATCCCTCCTGACAAAAAAGACAGGTTTTTACACAGACACAGATATCATAGGGACAGCTACACACAGTTCCGGGAGACTGGTTGGATATATGAAGCTACAGAAGGAACAGGACATTTAGAGAACATACCAGCTGCCAAATCCACACATCACTTTGCCGTACTGATGTCTCTGTCTGCCCAGGTCCAAACACCATTGCCTGTCATGGTCATAAGATGTTTGTAAATTTATCAAATCCACTGGAGCTACTTTTTTTTTTTTTACCTTTATTTATTCAGGGGAGCTTCACTGAGAGGAAGCCTCTATTTTGCACATTCACACCTGAAAGCTGCCCAGTCCAAGCTTCATAATTCACAGGCAGTAAAATGCCAAAATTTCCTCTCTGGTTTCTGATTTCATTTCAATTTCACTTTATTTTACTGAAACATTCCATCATCGGAGGACACATTCTGACAGTGGTCAGCAATAAGTCACACCATACAATAATAATACCAAGAATTGTATTTGCTTTGTACACCTCATGTGTCCTTTAAAGGGGCTATATGTAGTTTTTCCATTACATCACTTATTAATAAATCAAATTTTCACTGCCTTATTGTCAATGGACTGTAGCCTCACTTAGAATTGAAGCACACACCTGATTTCTCTGTTGCTTGCGACAGCCACTAATCTGCTTTTAATGTGAGGACACCCTGTGCGTGCTCCTGAGCCTCTCTCCCACTACAGCAACAACACCGCAGCTAACTACATGCAGTCCACTAACACCACAAGACAATCGGCTGCCAGCATAACACAGACTCCAACATAAACTCCACGTAAGGATGCAAGACAACAATAACATTTTATGTGCTGAAGACCATCAGACCAAACGAGATTCAGATGTTGTCGGTGAAAACAGTGAACATCAGAAAGGATGGAGAAACAGGAGAGAGTCACATTAGCTCGCCGGCTATAACACTGAGCTGTTAACGTTATCCAGTGCAAAGTTGTCTCGGTTTCCACATTACTTCACCAACTAACACAACCCATATTACTATCCTGTGTTCCACCGGGATTATGTCAAAGTGTTGACTTCAAGAAAGAATGCAAGAAAGGATGGTCAAAAAATCAACAGTGTAGTGATTTGTGTACTAGCCTTGATGCAAGGCATGGTAGCCAACTCACGCCACATTAGCACGGCCCTACCTCTATTTGATTCGTAACTTTCAAGAGCTGGTGTTGATCTGCCTGTGAGCAGGGAACATTGAAGTAACCTGAACATGTCTGTGAGAAAAGCCACAGTAGGCATGCCGTTGTTACCACGTTTATTGTGGGATTTCTGTATGAAAACGGTTGTGTTTCGGATTGTGCTCTCTCATGAGTTCAAGCAAGCACGCTTTACAAGCACACACCTGGTTGCATTCTTAAAACCACACCGCTACTGGCCGCTGAAAACACACTTTTTTTTCTATTAAATCCATTTTTCATTTAACAAGCAAAAGTTCTCATTGCATCTGTTATGATTTAAATCACCAATTATCTGATCAAAGAAAAAGGAAACAAGGATACAAATATTTTAAGAAAACACATCTGATAACTTGATTCCTGGTACCTCTGTCTCAAACTGAGCTCCGAACATGTCAATGGGCCTGCTGCTGGCCAGTGACGGCCTCTGTTTGTCCAGCCAGTCCTTAAAGGAGAAGGGTGACATCACGTTCATGGTGTTCATTTGGAATGGAGGCTCTCTGAAGACTTCATCTGTTCATCCAAAGATAACCACGACACCCGTTCAAAATGGACAGAGATTCGACTTTTTTAACAGGAATCCCATATTTCAGAACAACTCACTTGGATCAGGTTGTCCTGTTTTACACTGCTTTGATGCCATGAACCTGCATGTAAAATGTCAACCAACAACAACAAACTGTGTGAAAGCAAATAACCTGATCTGATGGAGATGACATGTGTAGATAAAAAAAAACGTCTTACTCTTTGATTACCGGCACCAGTTGGGTTCCGAGATCCTGGCAGTAAAACCATTTCTCAAACAGGATATCAGTGGTGTTTTCCACATAGTACCTGAAAGCACCAAACATTAGAGTGTAATGTTAATGCTGCTTGAACTCTTACATACAGTATAGGTCTGTTTTGTTACTTTCTCACTGAATCGTATGCTTTATTTGGACAGAGTATACTTCTGAGACACAAAATAGTCTTTGTATTTCAGGTCATAGTGTAGTTTTTACCTTTTTATACTAATTTGATCCATTTCTGCTAACTGTGCTCTAAGACTGCAAATGCAGTGATCACTACTTGCATTCCCTTCACTGTTAATGATGGATTCTGGTTCTTTTCACACTGTGAAAAACTGTTCCCTTTTCCACTTAACCATCACATAGAAAAACATTTAACCCAAGTTTAGACAGAGTGCAGATTTCAAGTGAAATGAATTTATTGCTCGGAATATTTTTAGTCCTGGTCCCAATGATATGTTATCTGTTTCTATTGTGTTGACTCATTCTGCGTGTGAAAACACCCGGAGACAAAAAGATAAAGATGCATGGATGCAAAGCCAAAACTGGCCTGTGATGATGTTTGTACCGTCATGTTAAGACTGGAAGTCTCACACAAACTATCTTATTTAAGGTGTCCAGTCAGGAACAATAATACAGTAGTTTATGCGGATAAAAGTCTATGACCTATAATGTAATTCACAGACAAGATATTGAGCAGTAAACAGGCTGCCTAAAATATTTAGTTTTTACTTTCAATTTTGTGTATCACCTCTAAATGACTGCAGGTTTGATCTCGTGATTTGATGAAAAGATGGTTGCCTTTCTTTTTGCTGTCTTGAATGAGGGTTTTTATTTCTTTAAAGGATCTTCTTTTCGTGCACAAGTATGTGCTTCTGATGGATGATGTAAGAGCTTTGGAAACACGGCATGTTCTACAACATGTGTTTGATGTTTTGCGAATGGAAACTGGAAATTTGTTCTCAGAACTGCTCTTTTGTTTCAGACAGTGAATCAAAACAATCAAGAAAAGCTGTACCTATGCTTTCTCCAACAAAACAGAGTTTTCATTTTCCTGTAATTGTGATTTGGTTCATTTGTTCTGTATCCCCTGCTATTATCTGCTTAAGAAGAGACGAGTAAAACAAAGGGGGAGAAAAGGGGAGGTACAGTAGTTAACCTCAGGCAGTCCGTCTCAGTCAGCAGCCGCCTCCTCTCCACCACCAGTCCCACAGTGTTGGCCTGTCTCTGGGGGGAGTGGGGGATCCGAGCAGGCAGCAGGAACATCTAAAAGCAGGGAAGAAATGAATGCACTGCAGACGGACAGGGAAAAAAACTATGTGAATGAGACACTGACACTGATTTTGCTGACAAAGTTGCTCTGGAGCATTGTGGAATATGACCAGTTCATTTTCATTTGAAGAAAATCCTAAACCGTTGAAAGGAGCCATGACAGAGTGAATTGTACTGCCTCAAGGTGGACTATAGTTATAATTGACTATATTGACAAATCTACAACTGTGCCGAAGAAGAAAATAACAGTACATAAAAGTATGTTAGCGCTCACCTCTCCCTCCTTGATGTGCACATCTTTGTGTTTGCCATTTTCAATCACCTTCAGACACATGTCCCCCTTCAGCTGGAAGAACAGCTATTTAAAACAGAAGATAGGAGGCAAAAGAAGTATTGGATTACAGGATAACGCCACTGATTTAACACATCAAAGTGTTTTTAAAGGTGCTGGGGAAAACAACTATGAAAAATGTGTGAACAAATGTTGTATGATGCCTTTTGTGTCTCCAGGGAGATCTTTGTCTTGGGGTGTGAATTTAGAAAGGACTGAGCTTACCAAGACCTCTGTAGCCAGCCCCTTATCTAGCTACATTAGCCACTATACTAGCATAACACACACAAACTGTTGGCGGGTGAGTCACATTGTGGGTAATGCAAGTTCCTGGTTTTTACAATGAAGAAGAATCCATGGATTAAAAAAAGACTATATCTCTGGTTTTGCCGTATTAGTGTCATAATTTAGGATAGTACAGAAAATGACCACAACTCTAAAATTGTTACTCAACTATCGCTACGGTTTGGTGTATGTTTTATGTGCCTGTCACTTGACTAACCTTTATACTTTGACACTGTAAACTTCAAAAAGCCAAACAGCAAAGGATGCAATCAACAGAACCCACCCAGAAAAAGCAGATAGTCTTGAAAGTCTTGCTTTAAGAGGAAGTTATTATGTGGAGGAAATTGGGGGAGTTAATGGTCATGTGGTGTAAATGTAATGCAGGTAAATCAAGAGCTGGAGGCTAAACTGACAGCAGGAATTTAATGTCCTATATACTGATATGTCTCTCCTCCCCCTGATGATGTGCAACCACAGAAAAAAAGTTATACTTAAGTGATTTGTATTGTTGTAGTTAAACCGACAGTGCAGAACTTTTGTGTCCCTTTCTGGCAGTGAGTGTAACTACACAAACACTGTCAACCATATATGCCCACAGGTGAACTTGCCCCAGGCTCATCTTCAGAAATGGTTACAAAAATACAGAGACATTTCCACAGTTCAGGGACACTTTTTCTTGGACACTTCTTATGTTTCTTCTCCATAGGCTTTGCAATAGGCTACTCCTACTCGCTATAGCCTACTCCATCTTTACAGTTGCTCCAGAGCCATGTAGAGAGAGAGAGAGCAGTGTTATCTCTGTTCAGTTTCAATTCAAGTGGTTTTATTGGCAGGACTGCATAAAATACAACATTTACAAAGCATATTAACACAACCTATACAATCATAATAAACAAAATAAACAATTCTCAATAATAAACGTTCTCTCCAGTGGACTTTGTTTGGCAGACCGTGGCGCTCTCTACATGGCTCTGGGTTGCTCCCCCCTTTCAGATCTGGCAAACCAATCATTGCTGTTTGGAGTAAAACGCATCACTACCCCTGTGCCAGTGCAGGAAAGTCACCACAGACACCAGATTTAAAAACAACACACTGTGAATACGGAGGGATTTACCTGGAGGTGATAGGCTTAATCAGCATTGTGTGAACTTGTTTGTGAATGTAATGGGCATGTAAAAACCCCGCACTCCAGCTTTAATATTAGATTTTGCATTAAATAATCCATGGAATAATCTAAAACATTATGCAGAATAAATCAGTAGCCCACTTCTTTCTTACCTCCTCCCCTTCCTCTATATGATAATCCTTCCTGGTATTAGGACCTCCAACAAACATGATATTCAACTGGGAAAAGTGCCTGAGAGAAAGACCAATTAAACAGTGTACTCACAACATGTCCTCACTGTGGAAGTGTTAGTCCTTCATTTGTTTATATCTACCAAAACTGTACACTAATTTATAGAATTTTTCAATCTGAATTGCTGTAAAGTTGTGAAATAACCTGCTGATTGTTCATCACATTATGTAATCCCACAAGTTGTTGCAAAGAAGCACCTCCTAAAATTACTCACATGAGCTTGTTGCACACAGGTGGCAGAAAAGCATTCTGGTTCTCTGCAATCCAGTTTTCCACATTCACAAGAAGTGGGCTGTTGCTCATTTTTGAAATTGACACGGCTTTTTTTCGTGCACTTTTCAGACCCTGTGACCAGTCTGTTAGCCTGACTACTTTAAACAATCTGACTCACACTGAAAGTCCAAAATGCAGAAGTGGGTGTAGGACAAGTGGGGAGGAGTCTGTCCCAGAAAGATTAAAGGTTGCTTGCACAAGTTAATATAGGGTAAACCAAGCCACACAGGCCCTATTTGATATCGATATCGCCTCGAAGCTCTTATTTCTGCTGGAAGAGCGAGGAGCCATGAGCGAAGACACACGAGAGCAGCCTTCAGGAAGTTTTTTTTTTTTTTTACTGGCCGACACGCCCGCTTTTTGGATATAAGTTATTGATTGGTCGCTGCAGCTGATCGTACTCATCTGACATCACAACGTTGCTGGAGTTTCATACCAGAGTGTAGACATTATAACTGATTCAACTCCCAAGTTTTATATTTTACTTTATATTTTACTTGTTGTCTGATTCACCATCTAGATAAAAATCTGTGTTTATTGTAGGTCTGACCAACTAAAGGACCACAAACAACTGTCATTTATTAGAAAGATTTTTTTTCTTTTCATTATCCGTTATTCCCACATTATCCTTTATTATGGATACAACTGAACTAAGCGAGTCTGTCAGCAAGAAATGTTTTACATTTCATTTCCATGACATCACATGTGAGGCTGATCATGGCATTCTTGGGCGTCGGTTTGATGAGTCACATCATCACATCACATTTCTCTGGAACATTTAGCCTACTAAGTCATTTCCAATGATCAAAAGACACTATAATCATATTGTTGTTATTCAATAATTAATTCACATCAGAATAGTAATAAATACATATGCAAACAATTAGATAGCCTAATATAAAAGCACCGTGCAGTAGAAAAGAGCAGGACATAGTATAAATAGGCTATAGAATGTGCTTGTTTGTTGAACAGGTAACAGCTACAAAGGGAAACACGCTGCTCTGGCAGTGATAACTGCGTGCCTTTATTGGTTTTAGCACAGTGCGTGTGTGCAGACATCTCCATCAAAAGGCTCTACAGCTGTTAGAGCCGACTGACGTCGCTTCTCGTTTCTTCTCTCCTTGCAAGGAAAAGACGCGCGTGAGGGAAACGTGGAGTGCAATTAAGAGACTTGGCATGCAGCCCAAGTGTTGTCCTGCGGTGACTATGTTGACCTATTGGAATACATTGCAACACTCACGAAATCAAGCTGGCAACACTGAGCACATTTCTCCTGGAAAGGTAAGTTATCTCACAGGTCTTCAGGGTGATGCCCAGAGTAGTTCCTGAGACAGGAAGTCAGGAACATACTAAGCCATTAATATCAAAACTTCAACAATGCACTAAACAAACACAGAAAAGGTTTTTAATGAATTACAATAGGGATAATTGGTGGTTGAAAGCAAGTAGGCTATAGGCCTACACATAACACAATATTTTTTTACATAGCCTACAATAGCCTACATAATTTGGTGTAAATTCATAGAGCACAACCACATTTTGATGAGGTATTTGGTTATTAAACACTGTTGAGCAAAGAATACACTGATCAATGAAAACCAAATGTCATATTTAATCTAAAACATTGGCCAACAACCACATATTATAGTTGTATTAGTTATACTTCTTGTCAAACGTTAATTGGAAAATGATGCAGTGTAATCTCACGTGTCAACATCATCTCCATAGCACCAAAGAGAGCAGAGGTTTGACAAGGACTGTAACCAAGTGTTGATCATTCACTGATACACTAAAGTCGATCAAGGCTGATGATCAAACCTATTCATTTTAGTTTACTGTACACTAAGTGTAATAATTGAAACTGACCACTAGATAGAGCTGCTTAATCTGGTGAGATTACATACAATCTTTGGTTCAGAGAACCAGAAGGACTAGCTGGGCCTTCCTGCCAAATACAGAAGTCTGGTATGTTCAGGCCATAGACTATTTAAAACCGGTTCAGCCAGGTAGTCTACTTTTCAACAGTGTAAAGTAAAACATTTCATTTCTATATTTCTGAACATCCTTTAATTATCAGCATAATGGCTGACAAGAACAACAGTAAATGGACTGCCCTTTTATTGTGCCTTACTATCTTCTGACCACTCAAAGCACCTTCAAATTCACACGCACATTCATACACTAATGCCAATGGCTGCCATGCAAGGTGCCAACTGCTTATCAACGCAGATTTAATTAATGGAATGACCGATTCTGTCTCAGTAAGGTAAACTTTCTGGCTACTCAATGAGGAAAGATTTGTTGGATACAAGAATGACCCCTAAGTAAACAGAAAGACATGAAGGAGCTGGTGGGGGGAGAAGAGAGCCAACACTGGTCCTGTCATGGTGACCCCTACGATTTTCTGACAAAGCTCTGCTATCTGTGAACCCCAGAGGACCCACAAATGCCACCTCCCACCACACCAAACTGACATTGACACCTTTGATCATAGATATATAGGCTATATTTTAAATATATTCTTAGGAAACACAAATGATATAGGCCTATGATGTAGCATACTTTCCTCCAAAAAACAAGTTATTGGCACTACAATTACATATTAGTACACCTCAACATTTATTCATCTAGTTTCTTTTTAGTTTTATACCTTTATTTGTTTCCCTCAGTGTGTCTTGCTCTCAGGTGGACACAGCAATATTGAACACAACACAGCAGTTTACTTTTCAGACATGCTTTTATTTTCCATACAGACATGCACTATGCACAAATAAAGTGTATTATTTTACATTCCCCTTGTCCTTAACATTTAGGTGGTTCTCAAAAAGGTTTGCGCAGCAGGGGAATACTTAAGTTCTACAGTTTAAAATGTAACGGTTATAGCCAGTATTATCCAACATAACGCTACATTTCCGAAGTACCCTTTCACCTAAGCATTATACATTAGCTTTTATGCTACATAATCTTCAAGATATTAAACTATAAATGTCCAGCTATATCTCGTCCTAACGACTTCGTTCATACTCACCGTGTGCGACAGGTGAGGGTAACATGTTGCAGCTAGCTGTGCAGGATCGGGTCTGGTTTGGCTGAGCAGTGTCAGGCCTGGTCACGTGATCTGTGGCCTCAGCGAGGCGGTGTCTGGCTCCTGACGATGGTTGCTCAGCGTGCTGCACGCAGACGTTGTCCCAACAAACGCCGTTACTTTTGTAGTTTTGAATTTAAAAACGGGCCTGACAGCTATTAAACGCGTGTTTAGCTGCTAGCATCCAAAAGCTCTCGTGCGTTTTGTAAATTAATTAGATATGAATATTCTTTCAAGCTTACGAGCTGATACGTTATCTTATAAGAAGTGATTCCGGTTCAGTGGGAAGGTTTGAACCGCTCTCTGGAAAGTGACCATTGTTGTAATCAGGTCGAGGCTGTTATCATTTCCACTTGCTGACTTTCTTAGTTTTTTACGGGTTTACAGCAGTAAAACAGTGCAAGCTTTTTAGAGTGTCATGAAAGAAATGTCAAGGTAAGTCATGCATGTGGCACATTGTCCATTTATGAACATTTTTGTTCGCGTGTAAGAGAGTCCTAAAGAATAGGCTAAAAGCTAACGTTAGCCAACTGTCACAACAACCAAACAAGGCCTGCAGCCACCGATAGTTGGCCGCGTCGCTTGTTTGTTGTTGGGTAACTATAATGTAAATATGCCTTAAAAAACGAAAGGCTCACTTATTTTTCTTTAAGAAAATGTCAACTCTGAAATAGGTCTAACCAGAAAGCGAGTCATTAGTAAAACCAATTCTTCCGCAGCAGCCAGCTAGCGTTTGCTAACTTGCTAAATTAGCCAATTTGTTAGCGCTTCCAACCTGTTTGTAGCTTCTCGGCTAACGTTCGTTCGCCGCCAGCTTGGGTTCAATAGTGGCACATTTCAAACACGTTTCTGCAGTTTGGGTAAACTCACGTTTCAGATTTGGAATCACAAACAATTAACCTTAATACGCTTGTTGTTTAAGTGATGTAAATGTGTCACTTTGCTAAGTGTTTACACATGGGGTTCGCGGTAACTTAAAGGAGAGCGACAGCAACTAGTAAAGAATAGCACCTTATACATTTTGACTGGCTGATAAATGTCTTAACTTAACGTTACGTGAGTTCATATATTGGTTTTAGAAACCATGACATTGTAAAATTAACGTGGTGTAGTAGCTGTCATTTCATGTCATGTTTTCCATGTCGTGTCCCTCTCAGCACCATGCCTGGTGGGCAGCAGCCTCAGAAACACTATGGCATCACCTCTGCCATTAGCCTTGCACCCCCGCGAGAAATAGACCACCAGTACACCCAGAAGCTCTGTGATGCTATGAAACCTTTTGGGGTGTTTGAAGATGAAGAGGAATTGAACCATAGGTGAGGAACAGCAAGTATAATTTTATTAACAACAAGACAACTATTGGGTATCTAGACTACATCCCTTCCATTGCAGCAAGCACACCTGCACTTAGAAGTAGTGCCAATAGTAACACGAACACATGTAAAATAATGCCCCAGCACTTCTTTGGTAGTCTCAACTGAAGACTACTAAAAACTGAATTTTTGAATGTGTGTTGTATATTTGTATCATTTTCATCCTCACACTATGATCAGTGAGAGGTGTGTGTATTGTGAATGAAGCACCTGCTAAAATTTATATCTCCTTTCAGACTTGCAGTTCTTGGGAAGTTGAATAACTTTGTTAAAGAATGGATAGCAGAGATCAGTGAACTAAAGGTATGCTCATTTGTGGTGTTGAATGCCTTTAAGTGTAAGTTATGATGTAACATGGGGGTTGTTAATGGGGACAAAAAATCACAAGACACACTAAAGCTTTCTATAGTAAAGCCACAAAGAGGAAATGACTCCATATTGACTTCACTGTATACCTTTCTCTCCTCTACAGAACCTTCCACCATCAGCTATAAGCTGTGTTGGAGGCAAGATATTTACATTTGGTTCGTACCGGCTTGGAGTGCACACAAAAGGTATGTCTAGTTGATGTTTGATATTTTAGTGTTCATTCATTGCAGCAACATCATCAATCAACTATACTCAACACTTTTTTTTTATGCCAGGAAAGGTGACTGACAGCATTAAACTTTAATAACACTTGCACGGTCTGCTTGGCTATATTGACTTTCAAATGGAGCAAAGAGAACCCAG